GTCATTAAGAAGTAGAAGTGTCATAACTTTAGCATAAACACATAAACAAGAGATTAAATAAGAATTTTAAGTCAAAATATTGGTTCGTAGCTATGTTCTATTGAGGGTTATTACCAGAATCACCACTGCACGAATTAATCACACCGATGACACTATTCAGAGCTACTCAGTGTGATTACTATAATAATAAAATAATGAATTCATAAGTAGATGGCACATTATAGATGTTTCTGTTCACTACTATTTGAATTCCGGGTTCAAATGAATTAGGCAGACTTGCCGACTTGTATATAAAAAGGTTGTAAGGCACACATAAATCTGGAGAGTTATGAAAGGTTATAAAATTGAAAACAAGTCCATTCATTAGGCATTATGACACCTTAACTCAACACTTTGTAGAGCTCGAGGAATTTGAATTTATATGGAAAAGTAAAAATCCAAGTGAATTAAATCAAATGAATGTAGCAGTCTGAACATAGAATATATACGACAAATGAGCAAGTGTGAAAAAAATAAAGGAAAGCCGTGTAGCAAAATAAGACTACTCATTCGGCTTGAAGCATCATCAGAGTAAGCAATCGAACTAACACACAAGGAATCCAAAAACTCGAATTGCTATTTTAAACGATGAATTAATTTTCATCAATAGGCCTGCATAATCTAAAGTTGTCAACTTTGTTACAGCCTCAGACAAGTTGGCCTCTTGACTGAGTGTTGCATTAGTTTATGAATGACTGGTCGTCGAAATTCCCCACAATCACATCTCCATCACCTTCCATTTAGCTTTTCTTTCCAAAAGGTATTCTTCTCCCAGCTTAACTGTAGTCTTTTCCTCTTATCAGCTTCCTCGACAGGACACGAAACTTGATAGTGTGGCTTATAATTTTGACATTTTAACACTGCCACTTTGGCCACTGGATCACGGGGTGGACTCACATTTCAAAGAAGGAATTGTCGATGAGGCATGTTTGTGTTTCGTCAACACAGTCGTCCCCATTACTTTTATTTATTTATCTATTTATTTATTTATTTGTTTACTTATTTATTTATTTATGGGTCTTGCTCACTTCCATTTCGAGTGAAAGTGTGCTCGATGAGGTTGATCGAAAGTCAGTGCTGTTAGAAGACCACGGTGGATTTATATTGTTCACCTGTGGTTTGACCTTGCTGGGACATCTTTTTTGACACTGTGACCGATTCCGCTGGAGGCCTACCAAGCTTTCCCCCATTATATGATCGTCTTCATCAGAATGGAGTATATGTCTTACAATCATATTCAAGCGAACAAGTCAAGAGGACTCACCGGATTTTCTCTAAATGTTGTATATATATATATATATACCCTATATCTATGGATGTTGATAATATATTAAATGATTTGGCTAGTTCAAGTCACATTTCAATATAGTAGCTCGCGTGCGTGTCGGGTTGTATGTGCTTATGTGCCTCCACGTTTACGTAAATATACAAAGGCAGCAGCGATAGCTTAAATTAATTAGAACATAGCTTAACCTTCTTCGAAAAAAAACAAAATGAGCATATAGTCGAAGGTATAAAGACCAAGATGGTGTGGCCTTTTGTGTGGTCGCAGTCTCCTTTCGTTGAATAG